ATTCCATTGAATAATCAAATTATTCAATTTAGTCTTGTTAATTAATCCAACTTTGAAAATATCAATTTCAAAATGTCATCATCCAAAACTACTACATAGCCCACGGTACACATATATTTAATGAATCATTTATACAGGGCTTATCCGTTTAGACACAAAAAACAATAGAGTTGCATCATCTATTTTCCACCTCTTTTAATCAGTGATGTTATTTTAGCCAAAACGATAACATGTTAATAGATATATTATTCCGCTAACACTTTTTATACTAATATAAACTCGATTTTAGAATATATATTTTTTCATTGATATAAAAAAATAATAATTTTACTTATTCTTGTTCACCATATAATACTCAATTATTATTTTATTATAAAAGTTGTTGTCATAAGCTATAGAAGTACTCTTATTCTTCTTAATTTATGTAATGAAAAATATTTAATGTACGTAAATATTACTATTAATGTAAGTAATTTAAATTTATGTAAATAAATTTAAAACAAATTATTGTGGCTAAATGTTTACAAAATACACACATGTTTTTTAGAATTTGATTTTCTCATAATAACTAATAATATTTTGATCTAGCAATTTCTATAAAATAAATTCCTTATATAATCAAGATATTTTTAATTTTAATTTACAATCTAAGGCTTTATAGTCTATTTAACATACTATGCAACAATGAAAATATATTTTACAATAAATTCATTATGGAAAAAAAGGTTGACAATAATATACAATTAAATCACAACAGATTTTTTTTTAATTTGCATTATAAGGCTTCATAGTCTATTTTACATACTATGCAACAATGAAAATATATTTTACTATAAATTCATTATGGAAAGAAATGAGAAAAAAATTAATAAAAATCAGAGTTGACAATAATATACAAATAAATCACATGCTGAAATTTTAAAAAATAATTAATATATTTTAATTTTATTATATGGCCATTAGTAATATTATTTATGAATCTAATTAGTATCTCTTAAATGGTAAATTATTTTGATTTGAAGAATTATTTATTTTTATATAATTAAATGAAAGTTAAAAGATATTATCGGAAAATATTAATTAACCAACTTGATTTCGCCAAATTAGTCGGAAGGAGAAAATTACCTAACATTTTACGATTGTTTATAAATATTTTAGGATGAAATTCGATATTTGTGAAAAAAATTAATAATATGGTTAAGGCTTAAAAATTATTTGCATGTATATTGACTAAAATATTATTAACATGAATCACGAAAAATTAAATTACAATTTATCATTATGGATATCAATACTATTATTGCAGATGTTTGTAAAATTATTCATGGAAAAAATCTTTTTGATCATATCTGAATTATACAAGGAGAGAATCTTTTTGATAATAATTGATTTGCAAACACAAATGTACAAGCAATTAATGCATATATCTAAAAAGTTTCTAAATGAAGTATGCATTAAATGTTTACAGATTTTTTTACTACTATTTTTGTAAATGGTAATTCTCTTTATATATATATATATATATATATATATATATATATATATACTAGTACAGAGCCCGTGCGATGCACGGGATGCACAATTTTAAGGCTATTTATCCAGGCTTATAATTATATACATGAATAAAGAAAAATGTACGGGATATATATAGTACGTGACCCGTGCGAAGCACAAGATATATTTATTTGAAGAATATTATATTATAAGATGCAATATTCAATAAAAGTTTATAATACGCAAGAAAATTGTACAGTGTTCAATAAAAGTTTTATAATATTCAAGTGGAGTCTTAAAGTCTCTTGTACATTAAGACTACTGACAAAATAATATTTTAATCAATGAGTTTTCTTTCCTTGTAGCCAAATTGTAAATGTGATTTGAGGAGTACAACAAATCGATATATAGCTGACTTGCTTTTTTCATTGTAGTTTTTTTTCTTTTTTTTTTAATGAATTTAAAGATATTCTAAAATATAGCAAAAATTATTTTATTACAATTAGGAATTTTATTAAATATAAACTCTCAATCTATGGTGTTAATTAATGTTTAAGTCTAAAAAATTAGGAATTTTTACCTCTTTTAATCAACGTTTAAGTCTAAAAAACAATAGAGTTATTATAAGTTTTTTTCTACATCTTTTAAAACATTAAATATGAGCATGTTAGGTCTAACTTGTAAAATAATTAATATATTATCTCACTAAAACATTTATACTAATAAAGTAACAGTTTTACTTATTGTTGTTCACCATACAATATTTAATTATTATTTTATTATATAGTAAAAAAGAAATATTGTTAACTAGTGTAGTAGAATTGTTATAAAATTATATGATTTTTTTTTACAATATGGATTTAATATTTTTTTATGATTTGATAATATAAACAAATCTATACTTAACTTTGACAAACAAAACAAATAAATACAATAGTAAGTATTTAATGTATATCTAAATAGGAAGATATTTGGTAAAATAAAATACCAAATATAATCAAATTATACTTACCTTTTTAAAATAAAACAAATAAACTAATTAATTAAATAAATAAAATATTATAATACCAAAATAGTAATGACATTTAATGCAGTTGACTTTTCTGGATAGTAAATGTAGTAAATAGAATCTCCTTTTATATAAGTATAGATTGTATAATACGGAAATAGTAATACAATAAATGTTGTTGACGTTTCTTTATACTAAATCTGGTAAATGGTATACCTTTTAATATAAGTATAGATATGTATATTTTGTGTGACCCTTTTAGGTTCACGATCTACACTAATAGTGGGTTTACAACTCATTTCTAATTTTTCTTTAATCTAATTAATTTGTATACTTGAACTTAACTCTTTAATTTCAAGAACCCACAAATTAAATAACACCTAGAAAGTAGCATGGCTATCTAGTGTTAAGTGAAAAAGCGAGTAAAGCTTTTTCAATTGCAAGTCATGCATGTAAAATCCTTTCGACAACTAATTTCTCGGTTAAATCTTGTGCATAGATTTTTATGTCGAAACTCAATTGATTTAATAACTATGATTTCATTTCAAGTTTAGAGATTCCTTTATGAATCCATATTCATCTCGCCTTGACCAAGGTCTTTGAATCACAAAATATGAAAAACATAGAAATTTCACTTATCTACATAAGTGTCGAATTCTATGTTAGTCCCAGGTAAACCTCCAAACACATCGATACAGTACCCAAAATATCCATTTTATGATTGTCCAGCAATCAAAGGGTAAATCAAAGTAGAACACAATATGCACAAGATTCCTATTGTGTCTCAAGTCCCAGGATCAATCATGTACTATTGCAACATGAAAATTCTTATTCGGCAGTTAAAAACTTCCAGCCAAGAATTCTCATCGAGCCACGTTCAGTGAACTTGTTCTACAACAAGCATCTGCATTTATGCATTCGCGTCCATGCACTAATATTGATGGAATGCGACATTCTTGTCCAACGAGCATGCATCATATCCACAAATCTTACCAGGTTATTCGATGTCCTATCTCGAAATACCCATCGACTTGGAACTCATTTAATATCATAGCTTCAAAGACATATTTCATAATTGTCATCTAATGCGCAACCATGCCTCATAGCTAATGATGATCTAAGAACTTTATCATATATGTGCAAATATATATAATAAATGCAAAGACATAAGATAAAACAATGCCTCAGGTAATATAATTACTAATAAATTGTCTTTACAAGTAGAAAATGATCTAATCACATTGGAACACCAGGTATTCTACTCTAACAACTCAGCCACTCAGAGTCACAACAAGAATATTGATGCTTCATTTTCTTTTTGGTAGGTCCGAGTGAAAGGGTGCACACAACAGGTGTTTTTCACATTCAACCGTGATCTATTCTTCTTTTTGTTGCTGGCTAATGGCCATATAGCTTCTCAACTGAATCTTGTGCTCCTTTCTCTATATATTTTTCATGCATCAAGTCTAAGAAGATAGTAAGATATGTACTTTACTACTTTTGATGCTTACCTTATTTTGTTATTTTCATGGATGATGTATCATGCTGCATTGATGTGAAGACGTGTTTATTAAATTAGCTAGATTTTCTAGACTAGTGACTCTGTGGTTAAGGCTTATAGTTCAATTGATTCTTTGAATAAAGGGTGACATGTTTTGGATCAGATATGCCTTTAACTTATTGGCATCTAGGTGCTGAGAAAAAAATTGGATATGGTTCATCAACCAAGCTTGAAAACTCCAAAAACTTAGATATAAATATGCTTGTCATAAGGGGACTGCTTAGCTAAAATATTACATTGCAGAGGCAAATTTGATCAAACTCTGTTTAAGAAAAATAATAGAAGGATACACGTTGAGTCATTTGAGCACAATGAATTGAAGAATTTGATTTGAAAACTAATGTATGTATTTCCAGAAGGAAAATAAGAGTTAGAATTAGTAGTTAATATTTTCAGAATGAATATTTGCTGTGGAAACAACTACCTATTACTGAATAATAATATTATTAGTAGTATGCGGGTGACAAAGACAAGAAGTGATGTAGCACATCATGAACGAAAGGGAAAAAGAGATAAAAATCTCACAATTTCTTACGTTTATGCAATCAAAACCGCGGCTAATGACAATAGAAGAGAAATAAATAGAGTTCTAACCAGTCCAAACACCTATCTTGCTAGGCAAATAAATTCCTAATAATATAATTATTCTCCTACCAACATATTAAAATAAATAAAGGAAATAACTATAATAAATATAGAAATAAATAATTACGCTAAAGATGGCGTCCGGTCACATTTTTCCAGAAAGGCAAGCACGATCTCGTCTCGGAAGCCACCTTTATTCATGTTTGAAGTATTAGGCATCAAAAAAATAGAAGTAATAAGGAAATGATACTCATTCTAACCGGTTCAAGTTTCACAAAATGAGGCATAAAAATTTCTTCCCAAGTATTTAAAATTCAAATCTCTACCCAGAAAAAGAAAAAGGTGGGATAATCAATCTCTACCCTCCACATGTCCCAAGCCCAAACTCCCATGGCCCTCTCGAGAACCTCCACCTGAACCTCCCAGCCCAGGTTGCATGAGAAAATGCATACCATTATTATTAGCACCACTAAATTGCCCTTGTATATGTTGAAAATGTTGGTCTTGAGGCTTCACTGCATTGAGCTGGAACGGCACCTTGGGAATGGGCCCACCATGTTGGGCCTGCATTTGGGCTTGTGGAACTGAACTGGTCTGGGGAGCCTATGTGGGTAATTCTTGATTGTTAGCATAAAAAGAAGCAAAAGCAACAACATTCTGAAAGCTATTCTATTTTTACCCTGAAAGTGGTCCTTTACTTAGCAACTTTAGTATTGTTGTTTTAAACTAAGATTTTGGAGTTTGATATTCTTCTCTTTTTCTTAAATAAATAAAGTAGTCTAGGGGTACCTGGGATATTGTTCCGGATCCAGGAAGCTGGCATTAGCAATCGCAGCTAAATACATTAAGTTCTTCTGAAGGATTGCTTGATACCTGAATTATTTGATTTAAGATTGCTATAACTACCTAGTTATCATACATACACCTTTTAATGATTGATGAAGCTTTAACACATTCAATCAAGAAGCATATGTGCATGATGACTAAGAAACAATTAGGATCTTGAGATGCAACTTACTCTATCCATAATCAGTTACTACACAAAATATCTTGTTCAGCATGAGATGATGAGTAGAAGAAACACAAAGATATTACACTTTTGGAATTACTCACTGAGCACATTCGGTCACTTTTCCCGTGTTCTGACTTTCCAGTATAGCCATGATCAAGTTTTTGTTCTCATCCAAATACTGCATCAAAAGTGGTCAATACTCAGATCTAAGAAAGGCTAAATTTCAATCCTATATAACTCAAGCCCACAACTGAATCAAAGAAACAACCAACCACCCGCCATTATATTTTTTCACAACACAAATAAATCATGGACAAGTAAAGTAATTGTCCATATCCACATGCTTCAGAACCACACATTCACAAATGGTTTCACAAAGGTCAATCGCAATAACTAAAATATATTCATTGTTGTAAATCAAAATTATAGAAAATTGCTTCCGTAGCCAAGATTGCAGAATATAATTTCTGATTGTGAAACTCGTATCCTGAAAAGATAGGAATTAGAAGAAAACTCAAAATTTCCCATCCAAATGGAATAAAACACCAACTTAAAAAAAAAATTTGTTTCTACTCCAAATTAGAAATAAGAAAGAAATATCTCCCTCATGCTTAAATATATTATCATACGCATACATAAAGAAAATATTTGTGACAAGACCAGCCTTTGAAGCCTATATAACAATTCTCGATATGATTTCGACATGTCCATAGGAATAGAAAGAGACAGCAGCAAGAATTTGAGCAGCGAGAGTTGTACCTTCTGAATCTGTTCGGTCAAGACGAGATTGAGAGGCATCGAAGGAGCTGAATTCATCGGCATTACATTCATTTCTCTACCTATTCTCAATTTCAAATTGCTTTATCCTAAACCCCTCAAGAGTATAAATCCTAATTTCTGATTTTTTTAATCCGGAATAAACTTCAATCTTTTCGAATAGGCTAATTGAAAAGGTGTTATTTTTAGAAACGGCGCACGGGACTATTGGTTCCTTTTTCTTCCTTTATTTTTCTTCTTAAAACAGCATGATCATTAATCTGATAAATGCAAAATAAATTCCTACTACTATAATCAATTTCCTGCTCAGTCTCTAGCCTATTTTTTTTACTCCGTACTCCATAATACATTTTTCTCTTTCCTCTCGACTCCCCATAGAAATACTAATACTATTATTATTCATTTATTTTACCTGATAATAAAATTAGTCTCTTTCCCCTCTCTCTCTCTCTTCGTGCATCGCCGATCATCTCTCTCTCTATCTCTTTCTCTCTCTCTATAATCAATTTCCTGCTCAGTCCCTAGCCTAATTTTCTTACTCCGCACTCCATAATACATTTTTCGCTTTCCTCTCGACTCCCCATAGAAATACTAATACTATTATTATTCCTTTATTTTACCTGATAATAAAATTAGTCTCTTTCCTCTCTCTCTCTCTCTCTCTCTCTTTGTGCATCGCCGATCATCTCTCTCTCTATCTCTTTCTCTCTCTCTATAATCAATTTCCTGCTCAGTCCCTAGCCTAATTTTCTTACTCCGCACTCCATAATACATTTTTCGCTTTCCTCTCGACTCCCCATAGAAATACTAATACTATTATTATTCCTTTATTTTACCTGATAATAAAATTAGTCTCTTTCCTCTCTCTCTCTCTCTCTCTCTCTTTGTGCATCGCCGATCATCTCTCTCTCTATCTCTTTCTCTCTCTCTCTCTCTATTCGTCGTCTCAACTCTCTCTCTCTCTCTCTCTCTCTTTGCATCTCTCTGTCGATCATCTCTCTCTCTCTCTCTCTTCGTGCATCGCCGATCATCTATCTCTCTCCTCGTGCATCGCGATCATCGCACTCTTCGTGCATCGCCCATCTTTGAACACGATTCCCCTTCCCTTCGCCGACCATCTCTCCGGGAAGCGCTCCATCTCCGGCCAAAACCATCCACATTCGACAATGGCGGGGTCGAAAAAGAAATCCACATCTCACAAACCGTCCTCGTCCAAAACTGTAAGCAAGGTGAGATTTTTTTACAAAATATTTGATTCTATTCAACTCAAAATTTTGGGGATTTTTTTCTTGAATTCAAAATTTTTCAAAATTTGGGATTTTGTTAATGCTAATGCACTTCGAATTTGGGGCTTTATTGATAAATTAGGGTTGTTTGCATGTCTGGGGTTCATAATTTTTTTATTTTGGTATGCTTTCAAATTGGGGTTCTTTATTAAATAGGGCTTTGTGAAATGAATTTGATGTTTTTATTTTGGTATGCCAGCTTTGTGANTGAATTTGACTCGGAATTGCTTGTTTGATGCTGTTGTTTGGTTCTTTATTGTTGAAATGGCATGAGGAAATGGAGTGGGCAATTGTTGTTGTTGTTGTTGTTGTTGTTGTTGTTGTTGTTGTTGTTGTTGTTGTTGTTGTTTTATATCAATTAGCTGTTGAATTTGACTCGCAATTTCTTGTTGGTGCTGCTGTTTGGTTCTTTATTGTTGAAATGGCCTAAAGAAATGGAGTGGGCAATTGCTGCTGCTGTTTTATATCAATTTGGGCATTTGTATGAATATGCCATGAATCTTTGTATGAATATGCCATGAATGAGGTGTTGTTATTGTTGAAATGGGCTGAGCTATCGTTGTTTGTATCTGTTTCTTATGTTTGCAAATTCACTTTCTTTTATTTGTTTGTAATAGGACACAGGACTAAGATGTAGATGTGTCCCTTCATACTTTAAAGATGTGATGGACAGGGCGGTTGTTGTGTTCTCTGACAAGCTCAAGCAGGCTCTTGAAAAAGAGCCCATTTTATTTTTTTTTGTGTACATGCCTGATTTAGCCATTTTACATAGTAGAATTGAGGCACTAGTTAGCATATACAGGGCAGACCTAAATGCCTTTGTTGTTCGTGATAATTTCTTTTTAAATTTTGACCCAGCCAAGTTTTGTATGACAATGTGGCTAAGACAGGGCGGTTTAAGCGTAGGCTTAGACCTTAGTGTAGAGTCGAAAGCCTTGTTCGATGCTTGGGGTCAAGTAGATAAAAAACTTTTGACAAGAAAGAATGTCGTAGAATTGTTAGGTAACTATGCTCTGGATGAAGGTCGTGTTGACGACTTCATCCGAATGTATAGTTTTCTTGTGTTTACTTGTATTTTGTTCCTGGTTTCAAGTTATTCAATTCCGAGGTTTGTTTATTCGTACGTGGAGGATGTCGGTCGAATTTGTGAGTACGCATGGGGATATTCTACTCACAAATTCTTGGTTGGCAGGCTAGTTCGCATACCTAATCGAGTGACAGATCCTACTTCGATGGATGTGCAATTGGATTGATAGTACGTATATATTTGTTTCAATGTCCTAATACAATAATATTAAATTGTCAAATTGTGTAATTTTGAAATCATGTGTATGTGTAGTCTTGGTTCTACGAGCGTGCCGCTTCTTTGGGCAAGCCGTCGACGCTCGAGGTGATTCCCCGTCTATTTCGATGGACGGGGAGCATGTTGCCGTCTACATTGGTAGGATCTTTACAATCTCTGAAGAAAATAATGAGATATAAGGTAATATATAATTTTATAGTATTATGTGAAGGTAATTTATATAATTTTATAGTATTATGTGTTTTCTTCTTCTTCTTTCTATTTTTTGGTTAATCGATATTCTACTTATATTATTGTGATTTTCTTTCCAAGTGTATTCAATGTCGCCTGTTTTGGAGGAGCGCACGTTTGTGGAAACCAGGTTTTCCTTTAATTTTTATCGAGAATTTATGTTTTAACATTAATATATTTTCATAGGTACAAGTATCTTTAATTTATGTTTTCCTTTAATTTTTTTTTATTTCATGTACAAGGAATGTTTGAGAACCGGTTGTTTGCATGGTTTGTCTTGAGAACGATGAACTTAGAGAAAGAATTCAATTGTTGGAGTCCGAGTGGAGAGAAAGAAAGAATGAAGAAAAAGAAAAGGAGGAAAGAAGTGAGAAAGATGAGGCTGCTGATGGTTTTTGTCTGACTGAGGAAAAAGATGAGGAAAAAGAGGAGGAGGAGGAGGAGGAGGAAAAGGAGAACGAGAAAAAAAAATGCGGAAGGATGGTCTCTGATGGTGGTTGAGAAAGAAGCTATTGTGAATGAGTTTGCAGATTTGGATCGACTCGTAGACCTGGTAGTCAAGTCAGCTGCTTTGAGGGAAGAATCTACTAGTTTGATGGGAGGGATGGATTCAAAAGGGTTGTCGGATGATCCGAACTCTGAGCACAGTTCTCAGAGCTCGCGCCGACAACCAGAGGAGAAACAACAGCCCTCTTCAATGGTGAAGAAGGTGCGGGAGAGGGTAAGCAGGAAGAAAAAGATGAAGCTGACTAATTTTATGACCCCTCCGTCATCCGGTCCGAAGAGGATGAGGAAAGAAAAAAAATTGCAGTTGGTGAGCTTGAGTGATGATGGGGTAATTAAACTAGCAATTTTATTTTTGTAATTTATGGATTATTTTTTTTTTTGTTATATTATACTAATTAAAATTACAAATTTTGGTGTAGCAAAAGTGTGTGGAGCAATAACCAAATTTTGATCCGAGTGAAATCGATATCCGCACTTTTGTTCGGGAACGAGTTGGATTTTCTCAACTCGTTGATTGCTATATGGAGATCCTGCGTGGCTGCCATTCTCATGTCCAATTTTTGCCAACATATGTTCAGGTACATTATTTTAATATACTCTATTAATTTTACTGATTGTGAATTTGCAAAAATAATTATTGAATGTAGAGTGATTTGGTAAGTGTTGTTGATATCTGAGTTGTGCTGATAAAAGATCCCCGGTATAAAGATGATGAACCAGATGAATATGACCTGAAGGCTCGGATCGGAGTACAAGTAATCACGAAGTGCCGAGCTGGTTAAGATACCAAATCGACGAAACGATGAACGGATCAACCCCCAAGGCCGGCGTCTTGGGAAGTTAGGCGACGATGCCAACCTCTGTTGACACCGAGCAGAAGGAAGTGCTATCCGAGGCCAAGAGATGAAGTATGCGCAAAAGTCCGACTTGAACATACCCTAAGGTCGACTTCAGTACGAATCAATGGCCTAAAAATGATATAATATTGCTACTTGTCGGCTAATGATTGCCGATGGGACGCGCCACCCTAGTTTATTACCCTTGTTGATACTCGAAAATTGATCAACATGGGGGGTTCAGAGTACACTGTGTATGTTGGATTTGCTGTATATATGTTGATATAATTTTTGATGAATTTTGAGTGAATTTTGCTGTATTTCTTGTTGAAGAAAGTACAGAGATTAGGAAGCCCCCTGTAACAGATAAGAGAGAAAAATGAAATAGTCCCCTCAGACTTATCTCGATGATGTCCATCATTGGGGTATTTATATATATGTTTAATGGGCCCGATATTATCACAAGCAGTATTATTTAAGGCCCAAAAATATTCCAAAAATAAAATAATTGATATAATACATATCCACGTGTAATATTTTAATAGGCTAGGCCAAAATTTAGTATCAACAGTAAGCCCCCGACTTTAGGGCATGTTTTGAATAAAACTGTTCTGAAGTCGCGTGTATTATCAATTTTGGCCGTAATCAATGTTGGCCGGGTACTTTGGGACCCGTGGAGCCAATGACGTGGATAGTCGATTTTTCTTGGAATTTTGAATGGGGCCTGGATGGCCTAGTCGGGCAATTTTGGTACCCGTCTTTCGCGTTTTTTGCGTGGAACGCGAAGCATTTGATGTGGTAATAATGATATGGAATTATGTGGGCATTCGGGCCCCCGGAATTGTTACCGGACTCGCGATTCTGTCGTTATTGAGACGACGCGATTTTTTGTTTGATTTGTGTTTGTTTTTCTTTATATGGACCTGATCGGATAATTTGGTATCCGGCCTTCGGTTTTTTATTTTTATTTCATTATTTCTCGGTCGGGCAGTGTGTTCCCGATCTTAATATAATATGTAAGGCGTTAGCCTTGCCAAACCAACTTCAGGGTCTGGAAAAGATTTTCTTATTATTTTTTCATTTAGATTCAGCTTTTTTATTGTGCCGACATCGGTTAGCCGAATAATTTTTTGAAATTCGGCTTTTTTACTGTACCAACGTCGGTTAGCCGAATTATTTTTATTTTTATTTTATTTTACCGAGCTAAAGAACTCGGTATAAAATTTTCTTTTTATATTTTTCCCAGCCGGAAAGGTCTTATTGACTTTGCCTAACCAGTGTGGGTTTTAATTTTTTGCTTGACTTTTTATGTTCATGTCAAGATGCATGTATGACGCGCGTATGAATGTATGAATGTGTGAATATATGATGATTTCGTGCAATAAATGATTAACACACGAAAAATAATGTTACCTCGATATTTTGTCGAGTCTGACTTTGTCTGTAGGTAGGTGCTCTGCCTTACCGAAATATTATGTCGGTATCTTTTGTTTCCGACTAAAATATTCAGCATTTTATTTTACTCGCTGAATTTTTAAAGGAACGTCGGCAATTTTTATTTCCGACTAAAATATTCAGCATTTATTTTACTCGCTGAATTTTTAAAGGAACGTCGGCAATTTTTATTTCCGACTAAAATATTCAGCATTTATTTCACTCGCTGAATTTTTAAAGGAACGTCGGCAATTTTTATTTTCGACTAAAATATTCAACATTTATTTCACTCGCTGAATTTTTAAAGGAACGTCGGCAATTTTTATTTCCGACTAAAATATTCTAAGAGTCGGCTAGCCGAATTATATTTTGAGATTCGACTTTTGTTTGTGCCGACGTATTTTAATGTTGCCCAGCCGGAAAGGTGTTATTGATTTTGCCTAACCAGTGTGGGCGCAGCCAGAGCAGAGGCTCAACGGTGAGGTAATATATGCATTAGCTCAGCCGGAGTCGAGGCTCAACGGCGAGCAAATATAAATGTCAGCTCAGCCGGAGTCGAGGCTCAACGGCGAGCAAATATAAATGTCAGCTCAGCCGGAGTCGAGGCTCAACGGCGAGCAAATATAGAAGCCCTCTCAGTCGGAGCAAGAGCTCAACGACGAGGTAATATATGCGTCAACTCAGCCGGAGTCGAGACTCAATCGGCGAGAAAATGAAAATATCAGCTCTGCCGGAGTCAAGGCTCACGGCGAGCAATAATAGGGCGTCGGCTCGGCCGAAGTCGTGGCCCACGGCGAGCAATAATAGGACGTCAGCTCAGCCGGAGTCGTGGCTCACGGCGAGCACAATATATCGGCGTCACAAATAGACAAGTGACTTCGGCTTTAGCGTAGATAAATGAAGTCGGCTCCGGCGTCGATAAATAAATTCGGATTGATAAATGAGTTCGACTTCGTCATAGATAAGTTGATCCGGCCCCGGCTATCGTCGGTTTAATAAATTCCCCGGCCCCAAAAATTTAATTGTCCACTAGTCATGGAATTCACATACACACTGGCCCAATCATTATTCATCACATTTGTACCCACGACCCAATACACTCCACCAGCCCACACTTGCTTTTTCATTAGACCCGAAAGTTCAACACGTGGGGTAGGTACTTTTTCCTTTGTTGAAAATCCTTATCCGGATATGTGCTCAACATCTCTTTCTCATTTTCTTCTTTGATTTGATTTCATTTCTCTTTCTTTCTTTTTGTACAAAATCGCCGGCGAGAATACAACTCGTCGATTCGGCAATTGTTCAAAAGACGGCCTTGGATGCAACGATTCCGTCGAACAACTTTTATATTTTTTTTTTGTCATCGAGGATTTTCGGTACTAGAGATGGAGATTAGTGGTCCGGCTGCGATATGAGAGTCCGACGGTTGTGACGTGAAATTGACCGGAAGTGTCGAAGGTGGATCTGTCGTGTCGTACAGATCGGTTCGAATTGACGATTATAGACACAATTTTGTCGCGGCGGGTGACTTGGAAGTCATATAAACCAAAGTCAGTCCGAAAAAATTGAAGTCGGATATCACTTTATTTTGAAGTTGGTTCGGACGAGCTTAGGATGAAGTCGATGCCGGTGATTTGTGTTGAAGTCGGTAATTCCCGACAATGAGGTTAGAGGTACCGAAGTCGGTTTGGGCTATCGGGCCCCAGTCGTGTTTCGAAGGTCGGGCTCGACATTACAGAAGTTGGCCCGTAGACATTATTTCGGAGGTCGGTTGCGCTTTGGAAATCCGAACTCGGACCGGCTATAGATTAAGTCGGCCGGTACCGATAATTGAAGTCGGTTGGTGCCGATAATTGAAGTCGGCGAGTCCCGACAATTAAAGTCGGAGATGTCGGGACTTGAGATCGAGCTTGACGACTTACCGACTTCGGTATTTCTGTTAAAGTGAGGTCGGTCCGTTGACTTACCAGGTCGGGTTCCAAAGTGCCAAGGTCGGCTATGGTGGCTGCTGTGATCGGTCGTGACAAATTGGAAATTCCCGACTACGACTTTGCGGAGGCGATGTCAGTTATGGCTTAGAGATGGCGACCGGCCATGGCCGTGATTTTGAATCGGTCTTTGCGACTTCGTCCTCTATCTCATCAAAATTATTTGCCACCTCGGTTGTGAATAAGTCGGGTCTCGGCGAGACGAGGTCGGTTTCTCCGATAAAGATGAAATGGGCCCGCAATACTGGGCGGCAACGTCCACGTGTATTATGGCAGCTTCAAAAATGTTGACTATTCTCTGTCGGTGAGGGTCACCGGCCATGTACAAGCGGTGATACCAATCTCTTTGACTGATAACTTTTTCTTCTTCTTGTCTGTTTTCTTTCTTTTCTGGTTTTCTTCTTTCCGTTATTCATCCTCTGCAACTTTCATATTCTTGCAGAATTCTTTTTTTCTTTTTGTTTACAGGAAAGTGATTCTTTCTTTGCGTTTTCACTTTCCTTGGATTTGAGATATTTCTGGATACTGGCATAGATTTGCAGAAAGGAAGTAAAAAGAAAAGGATTGTTCACAGCAAACTAATTTTGTACTTTTGCTGCTTCATATTTTTTCTGTTTTTGGTAATGAAGGGAAGAAGAAGACTAACGTGGTGTAGTCTTGTTTTCGGTTGATATGTCGCCATTTTTTGCGGCGAAGATTAACCCGAATAATTTACGGGGCCCTCCTTCTAGCGCCAAACTGTTGATACTCGAAAATTGATCAACATGGTGGGTTCAGAGTACACTGTATATGTTGGATTTGCTGTATATTTGTTGATATAATTTTTGATGAATTTTGAGTGAATTTTGCTGTATTTCTTGTTGAAGAAAGTACAGAGATTAGGAAGCCCCCTGTAACAGATAAGAGAGAAAAATGAAATAGTCCCCTCAGACTTATCTCGATGATGTCCATCATTGGGGTATTTATATATATGTTTAATGGGCCCGATATTATCACAAGCAGTATTATTTAAGGCCCAAAAATATTCCAAAAATAAAATAATTGATATAATACATATCCACGTGTAATATTTTAATAGGCTAGGCCAAAATTTAGTATCAACAACCCTAACTTGTCTAGCCTGGCCAAAAGGTCTGTCAGCATTAAATGCCCCACATGTGTGCATTTAATGCCTGACAGGTAATCATTGAAGATACCTCAAATTGCATTTAATGTCTATCAGAGCGGCTCCGACCTGTCTTTTAGAGCTATTACGACGAAACATAATGAAAAATGCATGAACAATGCTGAATTTAAGGATACTATAAATATGCAACTCATTTCATTTAGGCTTAATCGCGGGAAAATACACGACCTTTACGTGTTTGGCCATTTAATCACCACATTTAGTCCTTAGCAAATAAATACATGACCTTTACATTTTTGGCAACTCGATACATGGTTTGGTCTACCGTTAATGGAAATCCTACATGGCTTTCAAAACTGACGGACACACCAAACGGACATCTTAGTCAGCACCCAGGTGGCAGGGTCGGGTACTATAAAAGCCGAACCTGCTCCAATTTTTGCCCAAAATCTTCATTCCCAAAATCGATTTTCCCGATTTTACATGTTGAAAACCCTAGGTCATCGATTTGCTTCGAAAATCAGAGGATGTGTCTTCCATATCATCGATTTGCTCCAAAATTCAGAGGGTGTGTCTTTCATATCATCGATTTGGCGTCATGGTTGCAAGGTAACTGCCCTTTCTCACTTGAAATGTTTGATTTGATTTTATATTTTTTATGGTTCGATTTGTTAATCTTTTCTAATTTTTCCATTTTACAGCGATTTCTTTCTATTATTTATCAATCACAAGGGTAGATTTGCGACTATCGATGGGTATGAGGCGTATTATACTGATTGTGTTGCCACGGTTACTGGGTTGGATGCAGATAGGCTAGGTTATTTTGACATTGAAGATGAAATAAAGAAGTAGGGATATGAAAACTGGGGTAGAATATGTTATAAGCATCGAACAACTTGTGAATTTAAAGATATAACAGATGATGCTGGTGTTCTGGACTGTTTGGGTCAAATGCAGGGAAACAAAAGATATGTTGAAATATATGTGCAAACTGAACATTTAAAGAAACTGTGTGGGGTTGCTGTGTGTCAACAAGAAAATGAATCTAGGAATAGGTTATCTGAAGTTGCTGAGGTAGACCAAGCAAAGGATACTAGTGACAAGCTGGTTGAGTTTGCTTTAGATGAAAGTGAGGATGAGGACTATGAACCATTTGGAGAATCTTCAAGTGATGATGGTTTTTCTGAGGAAGATTTAGCGACAGATGATGAGGAGTATCTTGAGACCAGGAGAGAAGTTTTGAACTCCAGAAAGTCACAAGATGATGGAGATGCAAACATTTCCTTTGCACAACCATCTGCACATCATGAGGCTGATGACAACATTATACCTGCAAGAGATATTGAGTCAGAATATGAAGATTCTGAAGGGAATGTGAAGACTGATTCATCTAGTGATGAGGGTTTTGGTGATGATGATGATGAAACAAGGCCTAAGAAAAAGAAAATTGTTTATGATGGTAAGGGAGATCTGCAGGCATTTCAATTTCAGCTTGGGATGAGGTTTGAAAGCATTGGACAATGTAAGAAGGCAATTCAGAGTTATGCAATCTATAATGGCTGCAACATAAGTTTCTCCAAAAGCAGTTCAAGTCAGGTTGAAGCTAGGTGTAAAGTGGGTTGTCCATGGAGGCTTTATGCTAGTCTGATAAAAGGTGAAGGTAGTGTGGCTATCAAGACCTTTGTTAGTAGCCACAACTGCCATAGGGACTTGAACACTAAACAAGCAACTGCTTCATAGGTTGCTGGGGAGTATCTACCTATGATTAGGAAGAAGCCTAAAATGAAAATATCTGACTTAGAGGATTCTATCAGTGAAAAATATGGTGTGAAACCCTCTAGGTGGAAACTGTATAAAGAAAAAACTAGGGCTCTTGAACTGCTTAGAGGTACAGAGGAGGAGTACTATGGAAAACTTAGGAGGTACATTGCAGAGCTTCAAAGGGTTGATAGAAATGGCACATTTCAGCTCTTCTTGGAGAGTGGAAGTGTATTCAAAGGTTTTTATGTTGGTTTTAGTGCACTCAGACAAGGTTTCTTGCAAGGCTGTAGGCCAATTATTGGTTTTGATGGGTGTTTCTTGAAGACCTTTTTAGGAGGTGTTTTATTGTGTGCTGTTGGCAAGGATGGGAACAACCAGATATTTCCCTTGGCATGGGAAGTTGTGGATTCTGAGAATGAGAGCAATTGGAAATGGTTTCTAGATATTCTTTTTCAAGATTTGGGGATAACAGATGGACTTGGATGGACATTTATTAGTGATCAGCAAAAGTTTAGTTTTTGAATCATATTACAGGCATGTTTTTTATATATATATTTCTTTGTTTGGCTTGTCTCTAATATATGTTCTTCTTTAACTCATTATGTAGGGACTCATTGCTGCTATAAGAGATCTTTCACCACATACAGAACATAGAAACTGTGCACGGCATGTGTACATGAACTGGAAGAAATCTCACAAAGGCAGTGCACTTAAAAGTTGTTTCTGGAGGGTAGTGCATATCACATACAAGGCAGCCTATAAGGTACACTTGAAGGGATGAAGGTAGTGGATAAGGAGACTTATGAGGAATTCATGAAGCTGGAAAATGTCAGGTTCTGTAAAGCTTTTATCCTTGAGAATCTAAAATGTGATATGATACTTAATAATGTGTGTGAAACTTTCAACAGTACCATAGTGAAGGCAAGAAAAAAACCTATCGTTGACATGCTTGAGAGTATTAGATCTTATGTAATGGAAAGGCAACATCACAAACTAATGTTGACCAGTGGAGTAAAAGACACAATATGTCCTAGGATAAGGAAAAAAATTGAGAAAAATAAGTTGAGTAGTAGGTTGTGTGTCACCAAACCTGCAGTGGGTGAAAAATTTCAAGTTGCCATATCAGATGATCAATTTGTAGTTGATTTGAAGTGCATGACATGTAGTTGTAAAAGCTGGGATATATCTAGTATACCATGTATCCATGCTTGTTCTGCAATTCATTACATGAAGAGGGATGTAGTGGATTTTGTCAGCCCATACTTCTGTGTAGAAAGAAATTTGAGAGCATACTCCTTTTCTCTTGAACCATTAAATGGACCTAAAATGTGGCCTGATGCATCTGGGTCCACTGTCAAGCCACCTCCATTTAAAAAGATGTCTGGTAGACCTAGAATAAGAAGGAGAAGAGCACCTGAAGAAGAGGCCAAGAGTGACACTAAGCTGAGGAGATTTGGACTACAAATGACTTGTAAAAAATGCAAGAAAATTGGGCATAACATCAGGACTTGCCCCAATGAAGCTGCTCCTGCACAAACAAGAGTGAGTTTTATTGTTAGTGCTTATTTATGAACATTTATGATGCATTATGTTAATATCCTTATTGTTAAATTGCAGAAAAAGAGGGGGAGACCAAGGACAAGGGAGCAACATGTGGAGTCTTCTGCAAGAGATAGGCCTGTAACACCAACACCTACTCCACCAACAAACCCAACACCAGTCCCAACACCAGCCCCAATAGCACCACCACACGTACCACAAACACAAGCAGCACCACAAACACAAACCCCAACAAAAGCCCCATCCACAAGAGCAACCACAACCAGAAGAGAAACCACAGTCACAAGAGCAGCCAGAACAGCCCCAACTACAAGATCAGCCACAGCTGCTATGCAACAGAAAAGGAAGAGTTCCAGGATCAGGAGTGTTGGACAATCATCTCAAACTGTGGAAGCTATTAGGGCAAGAGACAGAGCAATGGTAAAAAAGCTAACTTTATTTTCTTACATAAAGCTAAATGTCAGTTTAGTTAACTTATTGGTGTTTTCATTCTTTAGGCAAAAAAAGGATATGGTGTGATAGTCTCTGAGCAGACAGGAGACATTTATATAAGGGTATGCTTCATTGTTTACCATATTTTTCCCTGTGCCAATTTGTTATGCATTTTTCAGAAATTTACTTAATTTGTTCCACAACTGCTTAATCAGATGCCAGGGCAAAGTAGAGTTAACTTTGTACCTAACAGAAGACCTGGATCATCACATGGACAAAAGAAACAAACATCCAAGAATTTCCCAAGAGATCAGGGAAACCAAGAGAGTGTTTGCAACTTTTCACCTTAGTTGTTATGGATATGTACTGTTGTTAGGTTTTGGGGATGTATGTTTTGAACTGCCTTGTTTTTTCATGTTTTTGGTTGTGGGATTGGAGATGCAGTTGTAAACCATGTAATTCTGAATTTGGATTGGATTTGATCTTTTTAGTTGTGAAATTTGGATTGGATTTGACTTTGAATTGTCTAAGGATGGCAGCGAGACTTTTGTTAGTAAACATGTCTTCATTTTTGTTCTTGTACACAGATTTTTGCTTATAAGATGGTTGTTTCGTGCAGCAAGACTGTGAACTGCCTTGGATTTGAGGTTGTTTGGTATTCAATATTCTTGTACACAGATTTGTGCTTATAAGATGGTTGTGAAGTGAAATAAAGTAACTGTAATCCTAACCTAAATAAGCCAAAATGATCATTGTCAATATTAACATACAATATATGGCACCAGCATACACATACACTGAAATAAACTTACAAAAAAACATAAGCTGATTCAAAAATAATAAATTCCATAACAACAGCAAAGTTTACAAAAGGCAGCATCAGAAATGGTTCATTGCCAATACATAACCGAGATGAAGTTACAAAAACTTAAAGCTAATACAATATCAATCAACCATTTTCTCCTTTACCCAAGGAAAAAAGCAAAACAACAAATAACACAACTGACACACACAAAATATGGTTTCTGAAGATGTTTCTCTTGGACAATACTTGTACTTGCTCCTCCAAGTCATTTAGTTTGGATTTAAGATACAAAAGTTCATCTTCCTTCATTTTCAGCCTCTCAGCCATTGCTACTGCAGTAACTTCTTCGCATTTTAATTGCTCCTTCAAGTCATTTACTTTGGATTTAAGATACAAAAGTTCATCTTCCTTCATTTTCAGCCTCTTAGCCATTGCTACTGCAGTAACTTCTTCGCATTTTAATTGCTCCTCCAAGTCATTTACTTTGGATTTAAGAAACAATAGTTCATCATTCTTCAATGAGAGTGTAACGCCCCACTTTTATTTGCCAAAATTCAGAATAAATTTTTCAAAATTTATTTCAAAACACTTGAGGCGCTACTCATTTTTCAAAACAATTCCAACAATATCACATATGCAATTCCCAACAAGTTCAAAATTCATAAATAGTCGACACCCAACCGGGTTCAATAGTCATAAATAGTCAATACCCAACCGGGTTCAATAATCATAAGTAGTCAACTCCCAAACCGGGTTCATAAATGACATCAATTCCCAAAACTGGGTTCATCAAATCCATAAATACCAGGGAGTACAATCCCTATCGATAATCCAGTACTCAACATAAATCAGGAATGCATAAATCATGATAAACAATTTAAGCAGCGGAAATAAACGATAACATGACCACCACTCGCTTCTCTCTGTCGTGCCCGCAATTACTAACCTGCATCAATGAAGAGCAGGTGGGGATGAGCACAATAGGAAATCGAGGTGCTCACCACTATGCAATAATTATTATTCAATTTCATAAAATAAGTAGGTATGGTCGCAGTATGAACACAAATCAATTAATATCCCATCTCCTTCCCAGAGTCAACTCTCATGTGCACACCTATACCAATAGACCACTGCTGATACACGTATCGAAAACCCCCGCGGGCCTTACATTCGATGCCCAGACAGTAGGAGTAAATCCACCCCGAAAGCCTGGAAACATTCCTTCGGACTTACATCGAGGATCACCAGCCAAGGCTCACGCCCTGACTGCCATACATAAATAAAGGAGACACCCATCGGGTACGTTCTATAGCTACGGGGATAACCGTTCGACGGCCAATATAGCTCACATCGAAGGCTACATGGTTCACATGCATACTTTGATCATACCACAACAATAACAATTAATTAATGCATAGAAACTTTTCAAATAAAACCCACCTGGTTGACGAGGTAGACAAAGCACACAAATAGTAGAAACGTAGGTCGAGGACTCGACTCCTCAAACACCTAAAATTTAATGAGATAAATACCATCAATAAATTATCTCACTACTCAGAAAATTATTTGAAAATTTTCTCACATCTTTTCTAACTCAAATAAGGCCAAATAAGACTGATCTTAAACTCTAAAACTTAGGTAGAAAACAAACATGTAGTAACAGCCTCAAGATAACACTTATAACCAAGGCAAATAACATGAAAATAAACACAAAAGAATAAGGCCAGAAACATACTACACATGGCTCTTGACTTTCTTAAACTCTAATTACAGTTCTAAGAGGTTTCAATTTCCACAAACAGCAATGAAATAAATTAAGATAAAAAAAAGTGGCACCAATCGTAAGTTAATTTCCTTGGAAAAATATTTTATGGAATCCCCATTCACACATATGATACATGACAATGATAATGTAGAAAGTCTAAAAAGAAAGATTTCAATATTTTGTATACTGAAGGTCAACATCATGTATACCTACCATCGTATTATGCTATGAAGTATAACATGTTTCTAAATGATTAATATAAGGCTTTGGTTCCGCTCAATCAGTCCATTAAATATTAAAACAGAAGGGATCGAATAATAAAATAAAGCAAATAGATAGATAAAATCAAGTTAAAAAGATCAACACATTGAAGCTTCTTTGGCTAGCAAAATCTAGAAACTCTTATCATACTTAAAACTCAATTTCATGGAAGCAATTAGCACCTTAAGCACTCATAATAACAAGTATGAACATGGCATAAAATGCATTCAGGAGCTTCAGTGAAATTGAACCAAAACTGGACATCAACAGGCTTAACTCAATATATATGCATTTTCTTTCTCAACAAATCTAAAGTTCAAGAAGGCTTTAAATAACTGCAACTAAATCTGAACTTAAAGCACATAAATGGCATTCAAATGGCTTAGCCACACTAGGAAAAAAATAAGAGCACATAGCAAGGCTCAAACTACAACTACACCAAACAAAGCTAAAACATAACAATACACAAGTCCCTTTTTCTCTAGCCTTAACCAATCAAGCACATGAAATCCAAGGCTGAAGATTAGTACCTCGGTACATGTTTCTGCTCAAAACATTTAACATACATGCAACATAGATATTAGCATGCTCTCAGCCCAACACAAAAACAAATAATCCAAGGCAAACACCAACTCATTCAAGCATCTTTGCCCAACAATTCACATCAAGAATCTAAACACCCGAAGAGGAAAAGGAATTCGAGATTACCACTCTTCAAATCCATAAGCACGAAGACGTTGGGATCGGATTTCAGCACAAAGCTCCCAGACATTGACCTCACTCGCCTCAGCTGCACGCACATGAACGCCGCTGTTTCTCGGCTGCGGCTATTCGTTCTTCGTCGGGCTGTTCACGTTCACGGGCTGCACGAGGGAGGTCGCTGGAATTTGTACGAGAGGGGGAGGAGGATCTCCCAGCGTCGGCAGTGCTCGGAAAAGAAGCCGACGGGGAGATGGCTGCCTGGAGTCGACCACGAAACCCGTCGGAAGGGGCCGTTTCTGTTCGTTGAAAAGGAGCCGGCTTGCCGCTGATTCGAGGTCTCCAGTTGCTCGATAAAGCCTCGAACGGCTGCCGCTATTCTCACACGAGACCCGAAAGGGCTGCCGATGCTATTCGGGCCCTAGAAGAAGGCCGACGGGGTGCCGCTGCTGCTCGTTCTCGGTTCGACTACCTCGCGTCGCCGGGAATCTTGTCGTTGGGCCGATTCGGCTGCTCTCGCCGGGAAATTGGACTCAGGTCGCGGAGGAGCTCGGGGAATTGCGGCTCGAGATAGAAGTTAGTTGTCCGTCTAGAGATCGGAGGTCAGAGCTCAAAGGTCTCGGAGGTCGTCGGCGCGCACGGACTCCTCGTAGCCAGAAATGGCTGGCTCTCGAATTCGCTGGTTCTGCTCGTAGTCGGGCTGGTGGTGATCGACTCGCCGGAACATGGTGCCCTTGCTGTCGAAAAAAAACGAAGCTCTGCCGTGAGGGATGGCTGGTACAATTGGGCCATCCCTGCGAATTCTCTGTGAACTTTTTACTGAAGGAGAAAATGAGAGTGGCGGCTAATTGGAGGGTTCCTTAAATAGGTGGAAAAATAGGGCTTGAAGGGAAGAGAGATATGTGGGAGCTCGCCGGATTTCAAGCAGGTCGGGCATCGTGGTCGCTGCTGGTGGCGGATTGATGGCCGAGAAAAGAGGGGAAGTTCAAGTTAGTTGCGACTCGTTCTTCTCTGCTCAAAATGAGAGAGACTGAAAGTGGGATTTGGTGGCAATTAAAAATGGGCCGAAAATGGGTTTCTTATTATTAGTTTGGGCCGACAATTTAGCAACTCTTAGGTACTCTTGAGTTAGATATATCATATAAATTGGGTCGAAACCAATTTAATCGGCCGAACAAAATATAACGCGACAACGAGAGTTCCCGATCGATATGATTGACGATAAAAATAAAACAGATATTATTTATATTTATAATACACATAATTATAAAATAATAATATTATTAATAATACAAATACACACATAATATTAAATAATAAATATCATTTAGACAATTAAATATTTTAATCGCAAATTGACAGATAAATCATTTTAGGCATTTAATAATATTTAGTATTCAATAATAATAACAACAAATAAAGGTAAATAATAATAATCATTATAATAATAATAATAATAATAATAGTAATAATAATAATAATAATAATAATAAATTCCCAAATATTCTATAATCAAACGGGGCATTACAATCTATCCTCCTTAAAACATTTCCGTCCTCGGAAATGCGAAAGAACACGCATCTAAAACGGGAATTTCCAATCACGAGGTCCGGGCATCACTCTCCGGAACTCGATTCCGTTCCCATGAGTCCTATCGCCTTATACTCGAAAGGCATGTACTCACATACACGAACCAATCCGACTCGCCCTATGCTCATATGTTCACCTTCTTGCTTGGGAGGGTGATCAGTCCTGCCCGAGCTCAGACATACATCTTCTTGCAAGGGACTCAGTTCGGTTTAGTCGATACTCATGAGTATCAACGACTTGCTTCGTACCTAACAGCACACAAGACCTCAACAGGTCGTTCGGTGTGTTGTCAGCGTACTCCAACTACCTCACCATCAAGGTGGACACGTGACGCCAAGTTTCAGTCTCGTATCCGAGTCACACTGACAACTTAGCTCACGATTTCATCACGGCCGTGTGTCTCTATCAGAGACAACGACACGGTACCACATACATAAAGCGCGACACCATTAAGCTCACACTCTCATGATATCGACTCCACGAGTCAAATGCAACCTTTATGCACAAACATAAGGCTTGACCCAAAGCAACACAACATTCCCAATTTGCCGACTCGAGAAACTCTCAAGTGAAGCATAGGGACTCATCGACTACACTCCTTAATCCGAAATCATCGATTAAGGATTTATGCACATGTTAGTGGAACTTGGGGCTCTCGATTCAATGTTCGGGGTAACATAAATAGCTCAGCAAAAACTGGTCGATCATTGAAATGAATCGGAGGTTCGGGGTTAGTGTACTGTCACCCAAGAGGCGGCACGCTCGCTGGCGCTGCATAAGCGGGGCGCTGGGACGCGTGCGTACCCACCTACTCGGAGACCAGCTGTAAGGTCGAGGCTTGGCCGCACACGCTGGCCTGGAGAGTTTGTGCGTTCGGTGATGGCGGCTGCAGTTCGCATGTGAGTCAACGGTCGGCCGCGCGCAAGCCTCCCGTCTCTCAGCATGGTCGTGCGTGCTCGACCACCACTTCGCATGGCTACACCCAGTCAGGGTCGGCGTTTGGTCCAGGTATTCACAAGAAGTTACAATTCAAGGCTACCAAAAAGGAATGGTTTTACCAAATTTCAAAAATTTTGGGATCAACAAACAATTTATGTATCAGGCGTTTCACCAATTTCAAAGTTCCAAAAAAAAAAAAAAAAAATTC